TATAAATTATTTGGATGAATAATTGGTGCTCATTGTTATTGTTGCACAAATAAGTTAAATATTAAAGTCACATAACCATACTTTGAGTGTATTTGATTTGTTCTAATTTTATTAATTTATAATTAATTAGAGTATTTAAAAATATTAATTTATAAATTAATTTTAAATTACTAAGTAATATATATCAATTGTTATATTAAATGTAAATTAACAATTATAATTATGAATTATTTTTAACAATCAAATCAAATATATCTATAATTTTTTTGTGTGGTCTTAACATTTATCTAGGGGTGGGCACATTTCAAATATTATGGAACTATCCAAATTTTTTACCTAAATTTTGAATTTGGATTTGGATATTTCAGATAAATTTAGATAAAACTAAAATAACCAAAATTAATTTTGGTTTCGATATGTTGTGCTATATGAAATTTTTTTGGACTAAAAATTTATATATAAGAATACGAAGAAAAAGACTAAAAATAATTAAAATTAAAAAGAAAAAGTTTTTAATGATAAAAAGTGAAGAATAATGATATATTTTGGTTATTTTAGTTAATTAATTAAATTATCTAAATAATTTTAAATAATGAAAATTATAATCAAATTAAATATAAAATTCTTATTTAAAATTATTTTAAATAACTTAAATTTTGATTCGGTTCAAACAATCCAAACCGAATGCTCAGCCCTGGATTTATTAGCGGAGATTGAAGGAACTGGGGTGGCATGGGGCTCGTCTGGTTTTGTCACTTGTGGTATGGAAAGTGGGAACCAGGAAGGCAGGAAGTGGGTTGATTTCGTTTTCAATGAAAGCTCAACTACTTATTTTGGATGTTAACGAACCCTGCTGCTCCAAGAGACTGAATTTGGTTGCAGCCAGCTGGGTTCGGGACCAGCAACCCCGATACATTAATTGGCATTATTATGGCCCACATATGGGAGGATTAACTTATATTGGTGTGAGTTTAAGAAAATTTTATATCCATAGCATATTTTAAAATTTAAAGAATTGTGCTAATAATATAAATAATTTAGTGGTCATCTCATTCCGTTAAAAATAAGAGTTTTTAAATTCGAGTCACATGATATGTGAGTATGGTGGGATAAGAGATGTGAGATGATTGTTTTCTATTATGCAACAAAAATAAAAAATAAAAAGAATTTTTTTTAAATTTTATATGATACATTAATTATTAAAATTTTGAAATAATTGGGTGACCCTAACTCATAAGACAGTATAAACTGTAAACCTTACTAGACTTGTGAATTGTGCATTTAGGGTGTTTTTTTTTTTTAAGTAATTTAAAAAATATTATATGAAAATTTAAAAAGTATTATATAAAAAAATTATTAAGTTTTATAATAAATTTTTATTTGGTTGTTAATTTTATTATATTTAGTAAAAAAAATTAATATAGAGAAAGTATAAAAAAATTAATAAAAAATTATTAAATAGACCTTATAAAAAAAATGTTGTTGAAACTTTCTCCTAACAAGAAAAATTTTAAAATTAAAAATTGTGTTAAGAAAAGCAAAAGGCTGCATTAAAGACTTTCCTATCCTAGAGTGGAGGCTGATTTTCTGACGTCTTTTACATCTCAATCTTCTAGTGTACGTAGTTATGGATGGGGTATATTAGCCATTCAACGACCATGTTTTTCTAAAAGTCCAGCTTTGGGCTTGATCTACAGGGCCAGATCTCTGACCATCTTTTGGGCTTCCTCAGGTTGTCCCTTTGCCCTTCATGGTTGGACTCCTGCTTTGTACCTCATCTGCTCCTCTGGTCCTTTCTGGTTTTTTGAAAAAAAATTTCAACTTGTTCTGAGTGAAACTATCTAGCCCCACTAGAGTTTTATGGTCTAGGCCCACTAGAATTCTCAATATTATGGCTAGAATTTGTCATTAGAAATTCACAAGAAATTTTTTTTAAACAAAGTTGGAGAGAAACTGAAAGAGAGCATCTTTCTCTCTCTCTTTTTTGCACCATATAATTTTTTTCAAGTTAAAAATGTGAAACCCAAAGTTGTTTTTTTTTTTCTTTTACCATAGTGAAACCCCAGGGTAGATTTCTTAATTTTGTTCTTAATTATATGACCTGATGGGACCAAACAATATTAAATGAGAGAATATTGTTCTAAAGTGTAGGTAGAACATATTGTACTTAATTTTTTATAGTCCATTCATGTGATATAATATGGACTATATATTAAAAAGTATAACTTATTTTATAAATTTATTAAATTACTCTTAATGAAATAATATTAGAAATAGTTTTATTATGAATATTTTAATAAATTTGTAAAGTTAATTGTACTTTTAATGTATAATTTATCTTGTAAAATACTTTTTTTATATTAAATTCTTTTATTT